AAAGCGAGTAATTCACCTTGCGCGAACGTAACCAAGTATAACTAGTTGTACAGCCGTCCACTATTAATAACTGTAATCTAGACGTATAGAATTCAGAAATTGGCCTCCCGTGGTAGCCGTTAATAAAAACCAACTTCAGAGGTGACATAGTGTACTTATTATTAATGTTAACGGAAGTTTGTGTGATTGGTTGAACATTCGAATATGAGTACCAAGTCATTAACACATGATTTGCTTGTGCAACATTACTATTGAGGGCGGGGTTTATATCAGTATGTCACTGTTGTATGATTTTCCTGAGATTGAATTAGGAATAAAGTTAGAGCTTGCGGCAGAGCAAACAACGACGACTACACTAAACCATCGTGCTGTGTGTATTTATCAAAGTGAACTGCCTAACAACCCGAGAAAGTATTAACAGTATTGACAAGATGGTGACTCCGATCCCAGGTAATCTAGTTTGCAAGAAGAAGAACAAATTTATAGTGACAATTTTCTAGTTATATACCTTGATAATTATTTGAGGATGAAATATGGCTTGAACTAATATATACGTTTTAAACTTGCAATGCAACAATACGAGAATTACTAGTGTAATACTTTGAAGGGGGATGTTGGTTTGTCTAAATTTTACTCGTTGTATATCAATTGGTACAATGCCGAGTTACATTGAGTCGAGATTATTTTGCATATTTTCGTTGCATTGGAGAATAAAACAATATTATTGTTTTTTTGTTTTTTTAAAAACGACGTGCATCTTAATTGACACTGGTTAGAGAAGTTGACATTTAATTATTCATTATTATGTCACATTTCTGTAAAAGCGGCAAAATAATATAATGTGTTCAGAATTGCAATATTTTACATAACTAACATGTCTTTTTATTTACTATGAACGTCTTCTATTTTATTTGGAAGGACTTGTGAACAGATTGGGAGAACTCTTTTCAAATTATTCAAGAGTGTCACCAGACATTAAACAATATCCCATAATATTTAAACCCAAAAAAACTGACAATTATAGTTAAATGGTATGGATAATAAGCGGATGAAATGTCGGATAACATACAAAAAACACTTTGATAACTACAGAGACGCAAAGACGCCAAAGTACTTGAACTTTCGTTCATTGCATTGTATTCCCCTCGTCCTTCATACGCCATGATAATTTTAATATCTGCCTGTCTCTGTATCACAAGGATTATTGCGTATATTATGCTAGGCAACACAACAGACGCTCTACGCATGCGTAATATATGCTGGATGCATGGCCTATCATGGTTGGCCACGTAGTAATCACAATCACGTCACACTGATGCTAACTAAAGCGTGTGCAACGTGCCTAAGGAATTACTATGACAAACTTTCAAAATACGCCACTCAAATGCGATTGTTTTATGAAAGTATTGACACTAAGAAACATTAAATAATCCTTGTTTTATACGATAATCGTACTAAAATTTACTGCGTTTCAATATCACGAAGAACAATCAAGCAATTAACCTGGCTAGTCTTTAGTTGGATACAATAATTCCACTGCAATGCAAAGGTCGGGACAACTTCTTTACGCACGTTATAAATACCTTGGAATACATGTAGTGTAATAAACACATTCCGAGAAAAAATAATACGTGTTTTAGTTTATAGTACATGATATAGGTACTTCAATTCTAGTTCCCTTCGTGGCAACTGCACATTGTCTCATTATGTCTCGCAGAGCAAATCAAATTACAGAACTGTCAGTTTAAAATGCAACACTCGTATCATGTACCCCAATAGCTCGAGTGACTGTTTGTTCAAAACAGATATCTTGCAATGCACGTACAAATACCAATACGTTACAAGTTTGATTTTGTCCTGCTTCATGTGGGTAATGTTTGAGAACAAAATTATAGTGTTTTACACACATTTGAGTGTCATTGGAAGTGTACCACGAACCACCATTTGCGCATGAAAAAGCAGCCAGGTTGCTGAGTTCACGTCACGCTGACTAAAGCCAATTAGGAAGATAGAAAAACTAATTAGTTTCAACCACAAAACCAAAGTTGTATTTGCGTGTGAGTTACTTCATGCGATAAATTGCTAATTTTACTCACAACTTGATTTAGCTCTTGTGTGAACAATAAGTATCGTGGATTTTTCGTGTTTTGAACACCAACCGACCGAACGATGCAACATTTTTGTTATATATATTATTTTTTTTCAAGAACGAATTTGTCAAATGTCTGGCAGAACCTCAAAATTTCAACGACTGGTTCAGTTTTGCCGCGCTCTCTATAATAACTACCACGTTTTGTTGCCAGAAGTACTAGTATATTAAAGCGGATGCGTCGTCACCTGCGCACGCGCGGTCCCAAGCGACGACAACAACACACGCTAAAAAGTAACACAAAGGCTCATGGGTAGACGTTTGTTTGTAAACACACACACGCTGTGGCCATATGACGCATGCGCAGGTGACGACTCTCCCGCTTTGCGAGATTGTTAGCGTGCACGTGACACTAGCGCGTAGAATCCTTTGCGCAAATGCAAGAATACTCTTCTTCGTTGAAACCCGGGTCCAAGAACGTATATTTACAAAAAAGAAATATGATAAAAAAAAATTCACACTGCTGGGCCAGTCTAGGTGTGTTTATGAATTTTATTTATCAGTCTTATCGACTAGAATTGCTTTTTCAAGGAACTGGGACATTCAATTCAGTTTGGTAGTATTTGGAAAGGCTTGAGAAAACTTACTTAAGGTCAGAAAAAAAATCTCTGTTTCTCGTTTCATGGAAATTTCAAAATGAGGCGGCGAGGCTAAAATGGAGGGAATTTGAGAAAGTGCGAGTACATTCGCATTTTGGAATGCTTTAGAAGGAAAAAAACGTCCGAGGCGCATAGTTCAAAATGATGCGCGTGGAAACGAGAAACAGATATTTTGATTCTCATCCTAAGGTTAGTTAGCACTGATGTGTTTTGAGCGGTTGGATTTCAATCAAGTATTTAGTTTCCTGGTATCGATTGGTAGATAAATTACCAGATAACATGAAAACTACTTTTAGATTAGTATTAACTAGATTCATCTACCATTGTGACTTTTCCATCATTCACATACTTCATTTTTATTTCAGCTGTTAGGTTGCTTGGTCCTGGCTTAGTCGACTAACCGTATTGTAACACAGTGGTATATTAATGTATTCACAACAGCAACCAACCAACCAATTCATGATATTTGCTAATTGTGGTGCACAGCTGTGCTAGACCAAACAAACGCTCCACACGTGTAACATGAAATGCCGTTTAAAGCACCAATATGCATTGCATTGAAAGTCCGGAATGTGGAGCTCTTTATTAAAACAGCGCTATTATCACTTGGGTCACGATCTCCCTGGTGTTTAAATATCCCTAGCTTGAAGTAGCAACAGGAAAAACTTGAGTGACAAATATCAGTGGTACCAACATTCCCTAATAGTTACTAAGCATGCTATTATAACAAACCATATCCCTACTTAGATACATGGAAATATCCATGCGCAATATCAATATTTGTTGCATGTGTTTACCTCCCACTTAGGCATGATTGCTCACTTCGTATGCTAAACGTGTGTCACGTGACTGAGAAATGGTGCTGAGCGAAACTTTTCAATTCCTGGATATGCTTCACAGCTACAGAAGTATTGATAGCAAACTACATAAAATAGCTCTATTATATAATAATTATTTATGGTAATATTTATTTGGTATAAATCTGTTCAATATCATCACGAAGATTGATTAGCATCCGTCGCGCACAAACCCAGTAAAACAATTCCACTAGAATACAAAGGTCGGAACAAGATCCATTACAAACATTGAATCATCAACAGCTGGCCTATGTTAACGAACACATTCGAAAAACGATGGAAGCTCTCAGGGAGAGAACAACATGCTTTATACAATGAAACATGTGCTTCGTGTTGTTCTGTTCATAGGATCGTCCAAATATGCTTTCAAATTGAAATACTTGATACATACAGACTTTACAATTTAAAAAAAACACACCTGCTGCAGGCTGGATATTAATATGAATATGTATGACGTCACTTTTCTAACAACAATGATGGACGCCAAAATTAGGTTTGTTGAATGTGCGTTCGAATAAATTATTTCAGTACTTCATTAAAAAAGCAGTTGTTGATATCGGTACAGCATTCTGACGCCCTAAATCTTCGCTGGGAGTAGTTCTAAACTTTGTGCTTCGTGATACGGCGGTACATACGTACGGTGAAGAAGAAGAAGCTGAACTAAAGGGTGCTATTTCATAGTAAATTCCCTCAACATCGGAGAGTTTCCCGTACGCATAACTGACAAAATAAATAAAATCGTTCTCAATCTACTTTCTAAGTGATTTTGCCTTTGGGATTAACTTGCAAATAAATAACGTCACAGTATGTACACACTAATGCAAGGTGAATTCAATATCGTGCAGCAATTGGTTGACTTAAGACAATAATATCCTTTTAAAGTCTAATTTCTGCTACATCGAAAATGAGTATTTTCAAGCAATGTTAAATATAACTAACATTTGTACAATAGATAACAGTCGTGTTTGAGTGTGGGTTATATCAAGCCGCGTGTTTAAACGGCTTTATAGTTAGAACATTGGCAAGAAACACACTATCGTCATGGCAAGTGGCAAAGATCAGTTTCAAGATACGGTAGGACGCGTTCCTAGATTCTTTTACTTTTATATGCATGTTTACACAGAGCTCGATAGTTTCTTCTCAAATTGCGCAATGTTGAATTAAGCGTCCATGTACTACGCGTTTCTCTTGGTATCAAACGTTATGAGTAACAGAATACGCCCCTGACCACATGTCACAGCGACGAAAACTATAAATATGCATTTCATTATAATGGATGTTTAGTATTTATGTTGCTTCGCGTACGCTTGTCGGTCCATAACAAGTCGTAGTTACCAATCAGTATAACTGTACATTGCGTAATCAAGATTACCAATACGTGATTGGACATCACCTCTATACCAGCAGTGAAATTTCCTCGGTGAGGCCAGGGAATGGATAAAAGTAGAACACTCCGGTTTTCCTTTCTTCGGCGACAAATTTCGACCAGCTGGACAGCCACGTCGAACCAAATAAATTGGATCCTGTAATTGCAACAACAACAACAACAACAAAAAATGTAGTATTATTTGTTTGTTAGTGTATTTATTTTGCACGGAAAACAATAGACGAACAGAAAGTTAAGTAGGATCAAAATGTGTTGTAAGGGCTGCGGAAAAATGTATTCAATTCAAACGGCTCTTCAACTCAAAAGATTGTCAACTGTCAAAAGACAGGTTAGATTTACCCTATGACGGGATATGAACGGAAATGAGGTTTGATCGCTTCGTTCTGTCTTACATATATTTTATTAAGGAATTTCATTTGCAACGCCATTAAGACGTTTCATTTATTTATATATTGATAATTATTGGAAAGTCCATCGTAACAATTAGGGATATATCATCGTAATATACTGTGTTCACACGTGTGCCAAAAAGCCGGTTTGGAAACCAGCTTTATATATAGTTAAGCCGGCGTTGAAATACGTATGAACAAGATAAGTCGGCGCCACGCCCATTTAGTTTAAGACGGCCTAAAATGGCAAGTCTCGACCGGCACCCCGTACTTAGAGAAACGGTTTTAGCACGTGTGAAAAATAACACAGCCTTAAAACACCCTAAATGTCAGCCTCGATTTGGAGTTCCATTCCTTGAAACTATTTTAAAGAAATATGGCGGCCTTTAATAACGCCGGCTCAGTTTAGTCTTTATTCAGGTATGAACATTAGGACACAATAAAACCACTGATAACTATTGTTTATCAAGTTAGACAGGTCTGTGGCACACGTGTGAACACGGTAACAGTGTCATTGTATTTTCGTTTCCAAAACCACGATGAACATTTATCTATTTTGATGACTTGACCCCATATCTATAATATTTTTTGCCAGTCGTTTGTATGTTGTCTGCTATATTGTTTTGGCCTTCATGGATTGTGAAATTATATTTGTTAATATAATTATTACAATGTCACGTACTTGCACATATTTCCTGTTCAACCAATGACAACACGTAGTTATCGTCCTTCAGAACTGATAACCTGGGATCTTTCATCAATAGGATATCATCGGCTGTGAACACACGATCAATCTCTTCAGCGATCCAGGCGTCAATTTTCTACGGGATATGAAAAATATGATTTATATTTTAAATGCACATCAGATTATCAACTTTTATATTATATTAATTGTTTGGGGGTTGTGACCAAAATTGTAATCATTTGTTGAAACAATTGACACGCGCTTTAAATATTTAATACGTACGATAATTCAATGTGCATTTTGCACATACTAATTTGTTGATTTTCAGTTTGCAACAAATCTTCACGCAGTGAGTGCGATAGCGACAACATAATTCGGCAAAACATGAAAGTATTGCCTATTATGTTGCTGTACAGTCTATATAAATTGTTTTACATAAGACAGAAAACTAGAGAATTCAACTATGGTTATCACTCGTATGATATAATAACCCTGGCACCTCTTTCCCACTTGCTTATCAAAAATCCACCGTGTAAATACGAGCACGCCATTTTAAAACCGCAATGATTTATGGGATAGTCAATTACGTACATTTGTATAAGATGGCCGTGCGATGTATATACATTTTATCTGCTTCCGGTGAGCTATTGTTGCGATACCTTTAACGACAATATTCTTCGTAGCATTCAGAAACATCGGCAAGATACGCCTACACACCTTCTCTATCCCCGATGGATTCATGCACCTGCAACAACAAATGGTCAGCACAACAATTACTTTAAAGCGGGAGGGTCGTCACCTGCGCACGCGCGGGAATTGAGTTCCATGCGACAATAACAACACACGCTAAAAACGTAAAGGCTCATGGGTAGACGCTTGTTTGTAAACAATGACACGCTATGGCCATCTGACGCATGCGCAGGTGACGACTTCCCCGCTTTAAAAACGTACGTACGATCTCCAGTCGGCTGAGAATGAACTGTCATGAATTTGTTTTTGCGTATCTGTTAACCGACTTTATTAGCTGATTATTAGCCGAATTGCTGTGTTATGTCTGTCATCGTTCAGGTCTATTTGAAGTTTTGAACGGAACTTGGCTCAGTGATTTGGAACTAATTACCAGATAATCGTCGCCATTCTGACAGTTTATATCCATAGTTATTAATGTAGTGAACGATTAATCAAAAGATATGACGTATTCAGTACTTAGTGTGATTGGCTTTATGATTGAAGGTTACGCCCTAGAGTCTTTTACTGTTTTGTAATTGGTTAGAGTTTTGAAAATGAATAAAGAGAGTTTGAGTTGGTCTTGACGAACACAGCACGATAGACGCAGAAGAGAGAGTGCAGTTCTGGAGAGTCGAGAGTCCAGTCCAGGGGCGAGCCTTGAGGCAGTCCAGTCTTGGGCGAGTCTTGGTTCAGCCTTGTGAGAGTCTTGGGGACTTTTTCCCCAGGGCGCTGTGTCTTATAGAGTGCTCGATTGATCGACTAAGACGAGAGCTGAAACGTATTTCGTTGTGTGTGCCTTATTTGACTGTAAAGTTAAAGTGACTTTCCCGATCCCGTACCTCAAGGGGACGAGATAGAGAGACGAGACGAGTTTCCCCCCTGACACGTGTGGAGAACCCGAGAGAAAAGATTTTCCCCGTGATAGAACAATCAGTCTGCGGAGGTATACAATTGAACTGTGCAAAGTGACGCATCATACGTGAATAATTATAATCACATTCTCTCAGACATTCCATTATTCGTACAGCTATACCCAAACTGATACCAGAACAATATAATTTATAATTACTTTACCGAATGTTAGAATTAGATATGATACAAACAAAGTTATTTTTTAACAATCTCGCGCAAACGAAATTGTGGGTATACTAATCAATTACGAAGTATTCCACAAACTTTCAAACGAAAGCGCCGTATTTATTCGTAGTCTACAAGGTCTCTCGTTAATACAAATGACCTCTTGACCTCTTAATATATAAAATATCATGGCATCTATGATGGAGTCTAAGGAAGGCATACATTGGCAAAGTGTAGCAAATCAATGTCTTAGTGTAGATTGCCACATAGCTTTTAAAATTAAAAAAGTCTATTATATCAAGTATCATTTTACTGTAAATTCCAATACTTACCGTTCCCCTGTTTTGTTCCGCCAGTGAATTGCCATGAATGGCTCGTTTTCACATATCCCATCCAGAGCAATATCAGCCAGCTTTCTGATCAATGGCGCCCTTCGAACGTGGCTATACGTCGCCCGCGAAATAGTGCTATCCATCGGGATGTCCGCCCATGGTTCGTATTCAAGTCCATCAGGGACCTCAAGTCCAAACACGTTAATGGGGTGAAAGATACCAAGACACTCGACATCTCTGGTTTTGTCGAACACTTCCCTTCTCTCTTCGTCAGTTTCAGGAATGGAAGCAAATTCGGGGAGTTCTATCCCCCAAGTCTTACGGAAGGTGTCACGTGATCCGTTGTAGTGGGTTTCATACATAGCGATGAAGGTCGGGAAAATGGTGCTCGGGGTGAGAATCGCATCAACCCGCCCTCTACAGTCACGCTGAAACTCCTGTAAAGTGGCCACAGGTAAAAGCTCCCGCAAGTAATCGATATCAAACGTTTGCTGGAAGTCTCTGAAGTCGCCATGGTGACTTCTGTGTCCGAGGAATGGTACTGCCACCACCGTTCTATTATAGTATAAAGACAATCTTACTGCTGCTTTGAAGTTGTTGTACTGCCAGTTAGGACCGCCTCCTCGTACATATATCGGCAACAGATATCGCAACCGCTGAGGGCTCTTATTTCCAGAGGAGAGTGTGCTTACTTTCTGCTAAAGAGAGAACGCAAGTACTAATGTCAACAATGGACATACACTAAACAGTTTTCGTGAATCAAAGGAAATAAAATTCATATAGGAGAACAACAGAGTAAAACAGATAAAAACAATAATTTCTTCAATATTGTCAATTATTGTGAGTATTCAAGCTCATAGTCAAACATTTAATATGCATACACCATAGATGCCACGGTTCTTTTAGTTGACAACTTTTTATGCGTAAACAAATCGACTATCGATCCCAATACTATAATAGTTATTGATGGATTTTAAATGGTTGGTAAGTAAATCTCTGTGTTGTCTGCATTCATTTTTTTTCACAGAAAAAAAATTCAAAAATACGTATCTAGTTAATCATTACGAGTCATTTTTATTTTTATTTTTTCCATTAACAGAAAATGCACATCTCAATACTACGAAGTCATCCCCACACGTCGGTCTTCTTAAAACTCCACAGTAATCTGCCGTAGTTTCAGTTCTAAATAAAAAAAAACATTTTGGGACTCATTTTTAGTTCATAGCTTTGTGACACAGCTGATAAAATGCCGGGAACTTAGTATGGGTGCACGCCACTTTGGCGCTATTCCGTTTCACTCTAGAAAACATGCGTGCATGTACATATGCAAGCTTTCATCATAACACGTGGTGGCGGTGGTAGACATTGCTCTGCATGACGTAAACAATGTTGCGACCCTGAGTGACGTCAATATTGATGTTTATGCTCTTATGTAACAATTACGAAACTGACAAACTAGGCTACAGTGACACCGACAGGGCTTAAAAACGATGCAGCAGTTTGCACACGCATCGCGTTCGCATGCAACCGTAGTCTGCCTACGTACCCACTTGACAGATGATATCGACATTGACGAATGGCAAATCAGCGCAGAACGAATTCAACGAAGCCATATGCTATTGATTATATGGTAACATCGAGCCGGATGGAATGTTGAGTACCGGACACCCAAAATCGCGTCGTTACAGTGAGGCCCGTCATAACACATGCACTCAGGCGATTATTTTAAACCTGTATTAATGAATGTTGATTTGAATACAAAATAATATTTTTTCCAATTTTATTGACAAGCTGTGTGCACGGTTGACACAATATATTGGTGGATTCAGTTTCAGACATCCGTGGCCATGTTCGAAATATGCCAATAGTTCATCATGTATAAGAAATGTTCTGTGTGAAAAATTAGTAGATGATCAACGCCAATAAATTTCAAAATTTATCCAGCGAGGTTTTTTTAAAAATAATAACACCAAACACATCATTTTGCTAGTGTATCCGTGTTTACATAATGCATGCAAGCAAGAGTGCCCTCATTTCGATGTATATGTTCATAATATTCGCACAGAAACATCGCTAACTGTACATGATATTTTACCTGTTTTATAGTCGTGAAATCAACATCGTCATCATTAACATCGTACCAGGGTGTGGTCCGTGCGAACTGTTCATCTTCGTAACTGGGCGATTCAACCATGTCAGGCCGTCTGCTTCCCGTTACGGCATATTCATTGCCGGGCATCTGAAGCGCGTCGACATCAGCGAGATGTAAATCGATTTCGACGTTTTTTTCGCGAAAACTAAGAGACGAAATGGCTACTATCAATATTATGAGCAACAATGCGTAAAACCTGCATGTCTTCATGTTTAACGCTCAGTGAATATGGTGTAATGACAAGCTCTTGTGTCGACCACTCAAAGGTCATAATCCGCCATTTTTCTGGCTGTATTGAATACCGGTGCAACAGGTTGCATGAGTTTAGTGCTACGCTGCAATTGCTCATCGTCAGTGCGTCAAACAAAGCGATACCTTACCATATAATTACCAGACGGGTCTATTCATGCCCGGCTGTGGCATTCATTTGTAATATGTAATTCTGGCATTGAAGAGTTTAGTGTGCTATCACTCACGATCGCGGGTCCGGCAGTGGAATCCATCCACGTGCACGTGTCCGAGTACGACCACACTGAATCATAACATTTCGGTTCGGAACACAATCTCTGATGTCGTCGGAAAATAACCGAGCAGAGCGATATGTACTACTGAATGTCATTCCACGTCGACTCCGTTGACCGTGACGTTTATACTTATTTTCGGGACCGTAAGATTCGTTGCTTCAGTTGAGATTTTATTTTGTGACTACATTTCTTATTGTCTTTTTTTAGCGAATGTGTTTTTCAAAATAAGTTAAAGTGGATGATTTCCCATTACGCAATTGACTAAATTGTGCCGTTTGCAGTCATATCACTCTATCAGAAGTTTTAATGTTTTAATCTCACTTTCGGTCTTATTTGTCAGTAGTTGATTTATAGGTTTTCTCCTACCTATATGTAAAACTTTGCAAGGTATACATTTATTCACGCCGTAAGCAATGTGTAATACATTTAGGCTCATTGTTTAATTTAATTATTTAATCTAAAAATCACAGTTCAAATTTCAGTCTGGCTGACACTGGTCATTTTCCACACACAAGTTTCCAAGTTTTTTTGACACATTCAATATAATATGTGTGTCATTATATAAACATGTTCACGGCATCCTGAGGACAGTATCACGTTTCGCCCTACAATTTGTATTTAATATATTCATGATGATTTGGGTTTTTGGTGCATTCTTTTCTAAGTCCAGCTGTGTTTGAAGGTATTTGATCCAATCAAACGAAAACTTAACCGAAGTTACGTTACTGAAAAGGGTCGGCGAGGGGGATTTTCATAAGCTGTCATCAATTGTTTTATTTTTCGTAATAATGTAATTGAAATAAATATAAAAAAAAGGTAAATTCGTTGACATGGACAAGGTGTAAAACGTAATCAGCTATTTTATTCATCCATACATTGTACAAAGTTCATATTTTTGCAAGCGTATAAAGCATTTTCCTCGTCAAATGTCGTTATGCAATTCCCAATTTAGATTAAATTATCAAACATATTATAAAAATGTAAAATGTAATCAGCTATTTTATTCTTCTGTAATTTGTGCAAAGATAATATTTTTGTACGTGTATAAATCATTTTCTAAATTAAATGTCGTAATTCGCGACCGTACACAATTTCCAATTTTGAATCTTAAACACAACTTATCAAAAATATTATAAAAATGTAATTAGAAATTTGCTTTTTCTGTGAAGTGTAAAAACCTATTTTTCTACTGTAAATGAAACTTTCATTTATTTCATGTAAAAATGTAAAATACCGTTTTTATTTCCTGTGACCTGTGACCCCTCCCACACACACACATCTGTCCTAGAAACGGAAGTGAATCACGCCCCCCCCCCCAAAAAAAACCCGTTCATTGCGAGTATGTGTGCTCAGATAACAAAGGCGGATGCTAATTTTGCACCATTCATGCGTGAATCTATAATCGGATTAACTATGCATACAACATATAGTACCACGGTACGATAATCGTACACAAACATGACTCACTACCTTATATACTAAGTAAGAGCTTTATTATTTTTCATAAGTATTTACTGTTATTAATGCTGCACCGTTACTTACCTGCGAATTACACTATCATAGTACAGCCAGATCTGAGGCCTTTACCCTACCGTCTGGTTACTATGTGTGACGTGGGTATGTATGGGCGGGCTTTCACCGTCTCGGCGCGTAATAAGCTCAGTAAGCTATGATTCATCCTATTATTTACCTGTTGAGTATTCAATATTATTTACTCGCTTTTCTTCATACACGGCTAGGTGGATTATATGATTTTGTCTAATATTTCACTACTGTGACAAAAAACGGAAAAAAAAAACAATTCATCGGTGATACTTCGATAATAGTTTAAAACAGTAAAATGTGTCCCAAAACAAAATACGAATACACTTCGTGTGCATGGGAACACTAACTTCATGGAATAAGAACCTTGAAAATAACGTGCTTGTGGATCGCAAATAGCAAAATAAAGTGGAGGCTTTTTAAATGGGTGAATAACAGAAAATAGTCAATCGAAACTGGACTGACTTCCTTGATCGAATTGAAACGCAAATTATGGGAGGGAAGAGTGACTAGGACTTGTACTCCTAACACCAACCAACGTAAGTAATCACAGGACAATACTGAAAACCACTAACTGGGGAAGCCATTTAAGTCATTGAATTCGTTGGTATATGAATTCAAGTACGCTGGGTACTACTAATAATATCAATTATTAATTTTGGAAATACTCTCAAAATATTTTCGCGTTTGCCGAATCCTGTGCGACGGTTTGACGTCCGTACGACCTTTGTCTATCTGTTTTTTTACGTTCGATTTCACGCATACCGCGGGATCTCGCGGTGAGCGGATAATGGTCTTTTTATAAGTTGGTTAATTCAATAAAATACGAGCATTCACAGGAAAGCTTGTACATTCAAACACTGAGTCGTGTGCGGTCATAAATTGAGGTTTGTTGTGATTATAGTTACGAGCCTGGTCCATGTTTTGAGCTTTGCGAGTGGCGATGGGGTTAAAGACCAACCAGAGAACAGAAGAACAATATAATTGTTAATGCGCACATGTGCAGTCCAGACGACAGTGCCGATGTAAAATATGTCTTGATATAGAGCAGAACTTTGCGCACGTGTTCAGATTTCATAATCTGTTGTGTATATTTGTCGGTGGGAATATTTTTTATGAGATTATTTTTAATAGTTTAATTTAATAAATGATTTAATTATTGGAAATACCGAATATTACCCTAATTTTCGAGCTTTCCATTATACGAGTCGGAGGTCGTTATTCCACGAGTCTCGCGCGGTTTGTACTGTGATAACTTCATCGCGTTGTAACTTTTCAACACATTGAAATCCGTCTTGTTGTCAGAAGCATTCGTAGGTCTAATGTAAGCTTTATCAAACTAGCATTGTATGTTAGGCAATGTAATTTGTGGAAATAAGTTTAACAGTGAGCATTGCCAGATTTGTTTTGAGTCACCAACAATAAATTACTCATTATTGGGTTTTAAAAAAAACAAATATATAAATTATCAGTCAAAATTTTATTTTATTTTAAAATAAGCGAATTTCACTTCATTACCCATTTCGATTACTAAAACCGCTTGACATTGCCATTTTGTGAAACTAAGCTCACGAAATATGTATTACTAATACTATAGACGATAATTTTGCACGACAAACTATCCTACAATGACATCTTTTTAAAAGCAAACCTTCAGTTATTACTATACCTAGATATCATCAATGCGTCATATGATGTATATTACCAAGTCTGTAGTTTTCATAATCGCAACAGCGCCACCACAAGACGTGTCTTTCTTCGCATTGTATTCACACTAAAAGAATGGCGGATGCCTGAAGGGAGAATTCAAAACACGACAACAGGTAACAAGAGGAGAAAGCAATAACAAGTGAATGTAACACAGTTCAAAGGCCATAAACCCGGAACAAGGAAGCATCTTTGAAAAGAAAAATAAGGTTGCTGATCTTAATTATGGGAGTCCGACCAGGGTTTAACTTTTCAGAATGACCAGGTTTACTAAAATGTGGATATTTCTCAATGCGATGGTGGTAATGGCCATGCAAATAACAGGTAAGTGACATTCCCCGCCGTGTCGCCGCTCGCATATATAAACGAGCTCCATGTTTCAATTTTTCGTTGCTATTTTTGGCTCCGTAATCGTCTTGTTGGCTACGCTATGACCAATCTCAGCCTGCTTATTCTGGGGCGTGACAACCATTTGCACACACAGCACACAGCACTGTCTACGATGTGGTTTACATGTATGACGATTGAATGTTTAACCTTACCGTAAATGAGAAAGATTTGTTCCTATAGCCAGACGTTCCCATACTCGTTAATTTAACATTTGTGAACAGTTCACAATCTCCATAAAATAGTTTCTTTGTTTGATCCGCGAGGTCCAAGACACTTACACTACATTAAGGAATGAAGTCGGATAGCGAAAAATTCATATATATTCATATATATTCATATATATTCATCACATATTCATAAAGCACTGAAAATACCAGAATTGACCACGAACGACGTTATTGTATTTTATGATTAATTATTTTTACAAAACAAGTCTGCAACGGGCTTCAACGCTCGATTCATGCTCTGATCATATATATATTCGGCTGAGGAAAACTTAATACTAATCGCCTGTGCCTCGATCAATGATCTATTCTTCGGGTCATTAAAATAACATATTCACCCCCATTTTGGTAGCTCTTACTCGTAACTCAGAGTACAATACGTGGTGGCGGAACAGCTATTCATTAATTTGTTGGAGACCACCGTATATTCATTGCGTCGTTGATTTAGAAAGGCGTAAAGTTATACGAACGTCTCTTTGTTCACGTGCATACGGTCTGAGCGGCATTACTGTAGAAACCATAGTCATACAACTCTCGGGATATCGGAGACACGATTATACCATTTTACACCATTGTAGTTGTGTAGCTCACAGTAAAACTACCCTAACCGAAGGTGTGTGTGTATAAACACGAGATATTGCATAATTTCTGGCAATGCGGCATAAATGTATGTATTTGTTATACTGTGACAGCGCAGTGTAATAAACATTGTCCTATTTGAATAGACGCCATGGCATCACCCCGACCTTTATGAGGGTATTGACTTTAGTATAACGAATAATATAGTGTCTCCCGTGACATGGAAGAACCGGGAGCGGGTGAAAACATTTTTCATATCCCGCAAACTTGTCAGGGCAAGGCCAGGGCGTTTCTTTATGTTCTATGGGCTTGGAGCCTGCCATGCACCACCATCTTGGATTTAAGACGAAATGTTCAATGCTGAATTACCCACTGAGTTCCCCAGTTTTTATGATAGCAGCAGTTGGTTAAGGCTACAAATTTAAAAAAAAAAAACTTCAGCGGTCACGTGACTTTTGTGGAAATTTTGTTTTGCATCTGATTTGCATAATCTTTTAATAATCCAATATCCCTGAAAATTTTGTAAAGATCAACTGCTATTTGTATTTATTTCCAATATGACAGCTCTGGACGATAAGCTGTTTTTTAGAAGATGATTTTAGAATGTTTTTTTTTCACATTTTTTTCCATCACATTCTTCAAAGATTCGTGAGAAAAGGGGAGGGCCCAGTATGTTCTGTCAGTAATATCTCAGGCACTTTTACAGATAGAAACACGCAACAAGTGCAAAGCTATGGGACAAGATATGTGACTAATATATCTGATGACCATATATTGTCATGTTACCTAATTATATATGCATAAATGTAATATATCAAGCACTGTTACAGATAGGAACACGCATCCAGTAAAGTATTGAAGCTTTTGGACCAGAGATGTGATAAAAGAATCAAATTACCATACATGGTGACGTAACCTCATTAAATTTGTATAACCGTAATATATCAAGCACAGTTGCACACAGGGACATGCAATCAGTTCAATATTGAAGCTGTTGCACAACATAACAAATGACCATATATGGTCATGCAACAACATTAATATGCATAACTCATCTATCTCCAGCACTGTTGCAGATAGTGACATGCAACTATACCGCGCTTATGATGATGTCCCTTCATTATGCGCGCATAATAATTATGCAACAATCACACATGGCAAACAAACATACTAGTACATTTCTTGCACTCTTACAATGAAGTAATTAGACAGGTACGTCAGTGATGACAACTACAGCTTAGTTCTGTCGTCAATGTACAAACATTCCAACACAAAAAAGGGAATCAAAA